CACCCTGACACGTGTGGAGCCAGTGGTTGTGGTAGAGCGGTTAGTAATGGTATCCAGTGTAGTAGATGTGGCTCGTGGTACCACGAAAAACGCTCCAAGATGTCGAGGCAGTGCTATGCGCCGCACCTTCAGCATGGAGAATTGAGGTGGATATACGCACACTGAGGCTCTGATAGAGGAATGTTCACGCATTCTGAGAGGAGCCGTGATAGGGGCTGTGACCACCAGTTCACCACAAACCTCCAATACTCACTCGCCGAGACCAACAGCGAAGCAGGTGGAGGCGGTGAATCCTAGCGTTAAACATACTATGAGGGAAAACAATGGAAAGGAGAAAATAACGAGCACAAAGGGAAAGAAACCACTCAAAGGGGCTACAGTTAAACCGTTGAAATCAATAGAAGTGACTACACGTATAGAACAGTTGGAGATAGATCTCAAAGAACTGCAACGCATCGCTCAAGCGCTGTTGGGTCGAACGACAAACGTCTTGCTGCATGACTATGCGGAGTCATTGATTCGCGATACTGAAGCGCGACGAGAGGCGGATCGCAGACACGTTCAAGATGTTTTTCGACTGGCGGGGANGCCGGCCAATACATCCTATGTTAAGTGCCACAGGGTTGTGTAGTGGAGGCAGAACCAGACAACCAGACCCAGGCCTATATTAGTAGTATTTTGCAGCACATACAGCCGGAACCTTCTGCTCTCTAGGGCTGTTGCAGTGAAGATGAACACCAAGAAGTGCATCAAAGTTACCCCTGATACAGTTCATCACACCCAGCGGGGCAACATCCGCATTGTTCCTGCAACAGGAATAATGCAACAAAGGAAGCCCAGAGTTATTCTGAGCAAACTAAAGGCCCATACGGCTCATAGATTAGGAGTGCGTGAGGCATGCCAATGCAGGGTGGTCCATCAAGATTTATCAGCTGGGTCAACGTTGAGCAAGTCCACACCCATAAAACCGAATCCAGAAGGACCAAAAAGCAACAAAAGTAGGGAGGAAAGCCGAGGCAGTCCCCGGCTTGAGTCCCCGGGAAGAAAACAAATAACAGAAGAGCAGACGGCCCACTAAAGATCACTCAGTCGGAGCCATCCAAGGCTAAGGGAATTAAAAAGATGGATGAGTCTACGGTCACTGATAGCAAGACGAAATCAGCGTCCGTTAGTTGGACCGTAAAGGTAGCAAGGGATATTCAGGACACTCCCCCTCTGAGTAGGACACTATCCATGCTTAGAAGGCAACGAGCGCCCACGAAAAGACTCAGTGAGGAGTTTGGGTTAACCCTGAAAGACATAACGACGTCGGTTGGGGGAGCCTGATCGTTCGGTACTCGCAAATATGACATCAAAAAACGTAAGAGCTCCTCGGGCCTTACGTCCGAGGATCCACCTCAAACAATAGAGCAGAGTTAATTGAAGGCGGAGGTAGACGCCGTCACAGTATGATACACTAACGCCTGCAGTGTTACGGAAGAATGGAGAGAGTTGGCGACGCGCACCCAAAACTCGGTGATAATAGCCATCACTGAAACGTGGATGTGGCATGAGCAAGATGTAGAGAAGCCCAGAGACTACTCGGCTTATAGACAAGATAGAATGGTAGGCAGACAAGGCGGAGGAGTATTCCTGATGGTCGAAGCCACTTACACTCAATGGGACTCACCAGTAAAACTGGCAACATCTAATATTCAAGCAAAAGCGTGTAGTATCTTCTTGTGACGACAACCGTTGGGAGTGCTACTAGTTTATCGCGCCCCTCAGGCGGAACTGCGATGTGTGACACTGACCTCGAAATTCCTTGTACACTTTAAGTGCATCGAATATGCATAGTATACGATTCGAATAAAGTTCGTGTGCTATTCCGTTCGAAGTTGTTCTATTTCGGGGATTGGTATTGCGCGAATTCTGGAATCCGATTTTGAATACTATTCCAAATACTGCATTTGGCGTCGCGGCCGATCTACTGAACAATGAATTCTACTCCCCTAGAATTTCTTGATCTTAACTGCAGTGCACGCGATATCGAGGATTATTTTGAACGTTTTGAGATTTGTTGGTTGACCCGTTCAAAGCCTGATGAGGAAAAGAAATCCGCTGTCTTTTTGAATGCTTCCGGTAAAAATGCTTATAGATTAATCAAAAACTTGGCTTATCCTTCTCCACCTGTTTCCGTATCGTACGATGATTTAAAATCCCTCCTCCTCCAGCATGTGAAGCCAACGAACTTCGAGGCCTCAGAATGAGCGAAATTTCATTCAGTGGTACGCAATCCGAATCAGGGCATCCGTGAATTCATCCTGGATTTGCTCACTCAAGCTGCAAAGTGTGATTTTGGAGATTTACTGGACTTGCAATTGAAAGATCGGCTGATCGCTGGCATCAACAATACCGTTTTGCAAAATGAACTTCTGAAGCTATCCAATCCGACGTTCACAGCTGTGCGGGCTTATTGTGAACAATATCTGGACATTCGCGCCGCTACTTCATCCATGCCGTCCACCATTGAATCTACAGCCATGTTCAATTCACTGAAGACTA